ATCCACAGTGAGGCATATAGCTTATTAATGAAATACTGGTATCGGATCGGTTCGTGATATCGGCGATACCCAAAAGGTATCGGTATCAGGACTGAAAAAGTTGGATCGGGGTACCCCTTATTCAGTATGCTTAGGGTTTCATCTAATGGGGACTTCATTAAACCAAAGTCTGTTATGTGTTTCTCACTTTCTCTCCTTCATGCTCTCTGCGCTCAGAATTAGATATTACATGTAAACTGCCAAAACGAATCATACCTGCTGTGAAGAGGAGACTGGAGAGGTATAAGATGTTGGCGGTAAGCAATACACTTCTAATTTCACGATTGTTTCTCTGGTATTCAGGAATTTTGTTTTCCTAAATGAAGATGATAAAAACCAAAATGTATGTTGTGAAATACATGTGATCAAAGATTTGTTTTCTCACATAATTGCAGGTACACACTCACTCACTCACACACTCTCACACACACACACACACACACACACACACACACACACACACACACACACACACACACACACACACACACACACACACACACACACACACAGGTTATTTTCACAAACTAACAATGCTGAAATAAAACTTGCTTTGAGTTATGGATACAAGCTTCAGTCCTTTCATGACTCAGTGTATCCTGTTACGACTTTGAAGAGCCAAAATGGATCCGATAGAGAGAAAAAAAAGTGACAAAACTGGAAGAGCTGGAAGATCGTGTTCTCTATTTAAGGTCTTTCCAAAATGATATTACTAATCTCACAAAACAGTTATACAACAAAAAGTATATTCTGGGTCTCGGCATATTACACAACGTTATCCATATATGGTGTAGGAGAGACTACACGACCAAGCAGCATGAGCCCACTCAGTCAGGTGGGCCGCTATAGATTAGGTCTGTGTGTGGGCTTCACTACCAGCTGGCATCTATCTGCCTACCGATGGGATGAAAACATCACAACAACAATAAGAGAAGTCCAAAAATAAGAAACTGTTATATAAATTCATGCTGATGGTGAACCACTTCCAGACTCATTTGCCTCCTTTGAGTGGTCGGCAGACCAGAAAAGCACAAGTCCACTTACCATTGACATTGGTGCCAGATTTGTTGTCGGAGTCACTGTCCCCCAGTCAGGTCAACAGCTAATGAAAAGTGACCATTATTTGACTGTTTAAAGGAAGTCTCTGTACTTCCTTTGAGTTTGTCACAGTGGTACTCAAGTACAATATTGGGGTACTTTTACTTTATGAATATTTCTATTTTTTGCTACTTTTTACTTCTAATCCTCTACATTTCAGGTGTGAATATTTTACTTAATTACATCTGTGTGACAGTTGTTTTGTTTTTTTTATATTTTAAATCGGAAAAGTAACTACATTTGATACCTCAATAAAGCAGTATCTAGTTGGAGCCCCTAGTCACATTTCAGATGTACGAGTTGTTAGCAGTTCCACCAAAGAGACATTTCACCTCTAACCTTGAGGTTTCCTCTTAAGTAGGACTTTGAGTGCAGGGATTTTAGTTGTAATAGAGTATTTTTACATGACTGTATTGCTACTTTAACTTCAATGAGCAGTGTAGGATTTAGTAGCATCTAGTAGTAAAAACATGGAAGGCCCTTTTTAAAGCCAGTGTTTGGTTTGTCCATTCTGGGCTACTGTAGAAACATGGCGGTGCAACATGGTGGACTCCATGAAGAGCCACTTACTTTGTAGATGAAGGCTCATTGTAAGCTAATGAAAATCCAACGATTCTTAGTTTCAGGTGATTTTACACTAATGAAAACATAGTTCTGAATATTATATTCCATTCCTGTCAATAAATCCCCCTAAGTCCTACACACTAGTCATTTACGTTAAGGACTGAATGCAACACTGGTTTGTCATCATCCACCTCAAACCTGTTTTATCAATTATTCTGCACAGTTTATCACAGTGGTCCTAAATCAGACCTTTGGGATATAAGGATTTTTGTCTCTCGGTGAAGTGGATAATTCCCAACATGTGGCGTCGGGGGGCAAAGCACTGCTGTGACCAGACCGGTTTGAACAGAAGCGCCAGGTCAAAGAGAGACGCTGACCTCTCACCCCTCACTTCATCACAGCAGGAAAAATATTCAACTAAGATCGTTGAACCCAAACAGTTTAAGGGAGAAGATCTGGATATCGTCCAGAAATAAAATTAACTATTGTCCCATGTCAAACTAGAAACCTCTTTCAGTCTCCCAAGTTTGACAGAAACACTTAAAATATTAATGTTTTAACAGAATAAATAAATCTCGACATAAAAAAACAAACTATTCTAAACGTGGAAATGTCTTTATCAGCAGTCCAGACAAAACATCGCAGAATCTTAATCTCAGTTGATTAATGTTAAATGGATTGAAATAATGACAAATGACTGTAAAACTAGGAGCCATGTCTGAAAAAAAAAAAAAAAAAAAAAGAAAGAAATCAAATGCCCCACGTCTTATGTAATTGAAGATTTAGTTTGCCCTGCCAAGAATAAAAGTTGATCCTCTTCAACGGCAAATCCTCACCACTGAAGCACACAGAAAGTCGGAGGCCGCTCTTGATGCAGTCAAAGATATGAATGTTTTCTCTCACCCGGAGCACTTGGCAGCATGCTAAGCAGCAGAAGCTTTTATGTCATGTGAAAGCTCAGTGTATTCAATCAAGTGAAATGGGTAGTGAAAAGCACTTTATCCCAGACGACAAAGCCGGGTTTAGATATGAAATGATATAATTCCAAGTGATTCGTCGTTTAAGAAAGACAGATGGTAATGATGCCCGAGTACTCTGGTGTCTGTTGAAGGGTTGAAAGGCTGTGTGTTAATGCCTGATCCTCTCTACAGGAATGCTGTCCCACACGGAATAAATGTAGGGATCACTTAAGGATTGGGTTATATTTGTTATAGACTGCTGTATTTAGATTATCAACTCAAACCAACCCTTTAACGTGGACATGACAGCAAGAACGAAGTTAACTGGCATCACTTTGCATTGTAGTTGTACAAACATTCTGTCATTCGTGGCAGGATTCCTGAAAGGGACGATGCTTTTATTATAATCCGACTTTGACATGATTATTGGAAATAAAAACATCACCTCTACCGTCTTTTAATAGTAGAACTAATCCACAGAGGGTGGAAAAAGTAAAAGCACTGCTTGAAAAAAAAATGTCTTTGAGTACAAGTAAAAGACAAAAGTCTTTGTGTGTAAAAGTGTGTATATGTATGTACTCGGAAGAGTGGGTCAAATATACTCTGACTAAACGGGGGATATGATGATGACGATGTTATGATAGCACTATCAAATTAAAAAACATGTCCATGAATACAACAGTGGAACGAGATTAAGCCACAGAGCCCTCATGTCCAAACCAACAATAAATGAATTTGACAACTTTCACAGTGCAGCCTTACAAGCATTAACAAGACCTAAAACAAACAAACAAAAATGATGAACAATAAACAACAACAGCTGAGGACACCACGGCGGGTGCAACAAGGTGCCTTTAGCCACAGAAATTAAATAACCTGACACTTCTTATTGAATCAACAGCAGAATAAAACATTGCCAAAGCAGAAACACACACGTACAAACAATATTAACTAAACATCAGAGCCACAAACGCACACAATATAGTTGCACAGTTTCTGCACAACAGTGATGTACATTCATAAATAGGTTTGTTTATGTACTCACACGTTCCAATGGCATTCTGTGCGCCGTGAAGTCCCCCTCAACCTGTTCCAGATTCCACTTCTTGACTCCCGGTGCAAAACATGACCTCTCTGCCTCGCTGGTCCCTGGCGATGCAGATCACTGTCACAAGCAGCGGGAAGGCCTGAAAACACCTGAAAGTTAAAGTTCCAAAGCAGACATGGAAGTCAAGGCTGGACGGGCCTCCACCCACCACGAGCAAGTTAGCGTGCAGCTGGTAGGCTAGTTCTCTGAGGTACCTGAAGGCAACATCCATGGGTGTGTTTGATTTGCGTCACTGAGCGTGCTCGCCGCGTGGCGCGTTAATCACTGATCAACAAGATGCGAACACCTGAAGTAACAGTGCAGATAAGTGATTTAAGTGGTTTTGTTATCCTGAAAGAATTAAAAAGTAAAGAAAATTGTGAGTAAAAGTTTTTATTGGATAAAAAGAAACATCATTGCCCTGAGAGAGACTTAATATTATTACAAAAAGACTGAAGATTTAATATTGTGAATAAACGTACTCTGCCGATTTTAAATATATACATTTATAAAACATTCCAGACTTTTGTGACCTGGTGCACAAGATTGCCTAACCTGAAGCTATAAACATTCCTGGTAAAACAGACTGTATATATTTATATATGCACTCTGGCGAGTGAATAAAAACACCTTTCAACATTCTGTAGCCTATAAAAGGACATCTTTTTACATGTATTCATACAAATTGCAATTCTGTAACAGGCTATCCAAATAAACGTTTTGCTAGTATCTGTCCTCCAGTGTTGCATCATGAGAAGGGAAAAGGCTCTTAAACAGGAGGAACCTCCGTTTCAGGAATGTGCTTGTGTCTGAACTCAGCCCATTAAATCCGTTACTTCCTACTAACTGCACTCAGATCCAAAGTGAGGTTACTTTCAGGATCTCCTGCATTTGACCAAAATAGGAAACTTTTTGCGAGAAATGCCTGTTACAGCAGAGGGGATATGTGATTTTGCTAACTACTTTTGACCTTTAAGGCTTAAATTGCTTGCCTGAGCATCCTAATTAATTCTCCTGCAAAACAAACAGAGTAGATCTTATTGCAATGGTCCTTACACCGAGAGGTGCCCAAGCATACCTAAACCACCTTTTTTGTATTATCAATGATCTTGTTTTCTAACTAAGTAACTAAACAAACTAAAAGATGACGTCAAGGTTAAGGTAGTTTGGCACAAAAGTCTTTCCCTGATAATTGTCAAGTTAAGCATCCTCCCACAGGAAAAACAAATAGGCAACAACACATCAAAGAGGAACCTCTTCCAAAACGCGCACGGTTGCGTGAAACGTTGCAAACGTTGCCTATGTTATTAACGGTTCTTTCTGTAATTGTGCGTCATGCGTGCTTATAGGCTCGCGTTTCGGTACAGTTGGCCAGTAGGCCAGGCTATCCAAGTAGGCCAACACGGGAGCGCTGTGTGTGGTGCAGAGGGAGGCAGGGGATGACTGCTGCCCCCCTCACTTCTCCACTGAGCCCTCAGGAGAGTGGAGGGAGGACTGCATGGGGACTGTACGCTTCACAGTGAACGGGTTTTCTCTGATGAAGACCTCAGCAGTGATTTGGAAACAAAATTGCAATTACGCAATGAAGCCATGCAGACTGAGGACATTTAGGCACGTTTGTTTATGTTCAGTGAAGCTCTTTCGTGAGTTGCCGTTACTAGTGATCTGAAGCCTGCTATGGAGGACCTCTTGAGTCAAAATGAGTCTGAGCACTGACAATGTCACGAACTTGTGGAAAAATGGTTCCTCGGAACTCGGCGGGATACCGAACGCGTCCTCCCCGGTCAACTTCGCCAACAGCTCCGGGGGGAACCACACGGAAGTGTACCTCACCCGAGCCATCCCGCTCGGCTTGGTGCTGGGGGCTTTCATCGTGTTCGCCATCGCGGGCAATATCCTCGTCATCCTCTCGGTGGTGTGCAACAGGCACCTGCGGACACCGACAAACTACTTCATTATCAACCTGGCCATCGCCGACCTGCTGCTGGGCACCACGGTGCTGCCGGTGTCCGCCACTCAGGAGATCTTAGACTACTGGGTCTTCGGCAGGATCTTCTGTGACATTTGGGCTGCGGTGGACGTGCTGTGCTGCACCGCGTCCATCATGAGTCTGTGCGTAATATCCATCGACCGCTACATCGGAGTGAGCCACCCGCTCCAGTACCCGAGCATCGTGACAGAGAAGCGGGCTCTGCTGGCCATGCTCGGTGTGTGGGTGCTGTCGGTGGTCATCTCCATCGGACCTTTGCTCGGGTGGAAGCAGCCGCCGTCGCCGGACGACACGGTCTGCCCCATCACCGAGGAGCCATTTTACGCGCTCTTCTCCTCCCTCGGCTCCTTCTACATCCCGCTCATCGTTATTCTGGTCATGTACTGCCGGGTGTACATAGTCGCCAAACGGACCACTAAGAACCTGGAAGCCGGTGTGATGCGCGAGAGGATGAACTCCGGTGAGCTGACCCTCAGGATCCACAAGGGTTCTCAGGTGCAGGAGGAGCCCTGCTGTTCGGGCACCGGCAAGGGCCGCGCGCACCAGGCGAGAAGTTCCCTCACGGTAAAACTTCTGAAATTCTCCCGGGAGAAGAAAGCGGCAAAAACTTTGGGAGTTGTGGTCGGCATGTTTACGCTTTGTTGGCTGCCCTTCTTCCTCGCCTTACCCATAGGTAGGTCCAATAGGTCATTGTGGTCTGTTATAGGGCTACTGTCATGAATGAAACATATTCCTCACAAACCAATCCAATTTAAAAAAAACGTCATTGAGTTTAATAAATGAGAACTGCAGAAAAGGTATTGAATGTATCTAAATGTCTGTCTGAAGTTAAACTGAAGGCTACAGGCCTTGTGAATCACACCTATAGCTGGTCTCCTATTTACTGCTCTGAATCATCACCAAAGCTAAGAGTGTTTTTCTGATATACTGTAGTGGACATTTTATAAGCCTACTGCAGGAATACAAAAAGGCATTCAATATAGTGTAGGAGGAGTGGACCTATATAATTGATCTGACTTCACAGCCTCTGTTTATGTAATTTAGTTAGAATGCAGCATATTGTAAGATACAGACTTTGAATTTGGGCCAACTTGAAAATTGGCCTGCACTGATGTTGTGGTTTCTAAACTCAGGGCCTATAATGTGTGATAAAAACATGTTTTTCCGAGTCTAAGGAGTAATTCTTCACAAGCTTTTACAAACATTATTAGTGTAATCTTTGCATTACTCCCTGAGTCTCAGTTAATCTGCTGGTGCAACAAATACCTCAAGTGTGCCAAGTGAAGAGTAGGTGGCCTCCCTCTGCTCTGGTAGCTGTATTTGAAGCCACGGCTCCCTGATGCCACTGAGAGTGGCAAACATTCAGCACCCTGCTGTCATGGCTGTCTAAAAACCTGCAGAGAAAATGAAACAATATATTCTGGGGTCAAATGCTCATGTGGCTGTGTCGTGGCAAAGAGGTTAAAACAAGTCTTTTATTTAGTGATGGAGGCGCACTGAACAAAGTCGGACCTACAAGCATGGCTGCTGTGTTTTGAATAGTTTGGATGAATTCCTCCTAAATGCTACTTGCTGTTATTGTATGTGAGTGTGTATTGGCATGAGCCTGCACATGGACACATATGCAGTGGTCATATCAGAATGTGTTTATGCCCCTGGCTTCAAGCTGCAGTTTATCACCTCCTCACATGGACACACACACATCACTACATAGCGAGGATTCTCTGGCCTCGAGGTGTTCTTAGTGAGCATACCAAAAGCAAGTAACAAGTGTAATTGTTCCATAGTTTGGATTTTCAGATCAGAGAGGCTTCAGGGGGCTGATTCAGGAGGGGCATGTCGGTGTACACTAATCAACAAACTGCCAAGAAACTCCTCAAGGGTATATGTTTCTCTGTACAATCTCTGGTGTAGCACACTGACACATTGTGACAGAGGAACATACAGCCTTATGTCAAGCTCATTTTGAACTGGCCTCCAAGATGCATGAAAGAAATCATACAAACAAGTCCATCAGTCTTCTAGTGGGGAATTCCACACAATGCATCGACTATATATACATATAGTATATATATAGTGGACTTACCTATCCACTGTATCAAAGCATGTGACTAAAACTGCCTCCTCTATTTCCTAAAGGGGATTGTAGGAAACCTGGTTTATCCATTTAAGTTTGTGCCCTGGTCCTCTTGTGTGGCTCTCGTCTGAACCTAAATGCTTAAAGTGTGATAGGGCAATCTCCGTCATCATGTTGCTCCCTGAGTATTCATTAGCCTCCACCCACAGATTGGGACTTCCTGCCTCACACTTGTTATTACTTTGCTCCTTCCTCTGAATACGGTCATTGATATGTAACGTATGTGGAGGTTTGGTTGGTGGTGTATGTATGCTGGTTTTAGCGAATGGCACAAGTGTTTTGTTTGTGTGTGTGTGTGTGTGTGTGTGTGTGTGTGTGTGTGTGGAGGAATTTAGAAAAATGTATGTGTGTTAATGTACAACTTTGTCCATGTGTGTTTTGGGTGACTCTGTCAATGTTGCTGCAGATTTTTTTAAAGTTTTAAAACCGGCTTGAAGTTACCAGCATGAGCCAATGTAACCTCTGACCCCTGAGGTATCAAACTCAGAACATGTGCAGCTTAAGGAAATATGTGAACTCTCACCTTCACATCTGACTGGACCTATCTGATCCAAAAAATTGCACACACACACTCACTGAGCGCTGTCTAACTTAGCTTGTTTGTCAGTAAGGGTGACATTTCTAAACTTTAAGTTATTTCAGAACACATACTTATATCACATTATGAAAAAAACGACACCGTAGCATTTTAATTTTACAGCAATAAACACAGACTAGTGCAGAAATTAACCAAAAAAGGCTTTTTGAGGGGCCAAAAGCAGCCAAAGTTTCACAAAAATGCTAGACCTTTTACATGATGGAACAGTTTTATCTTTGATATCAACAATGTATTTTAATTGATTCTCTTTGTCCCCTTTCAAACTGCACCTGTCCCACCAGCCGGTCTATAGCACAACAGTATGTTGAGCAGCTAAACATTTTTCAGACACAGAGATCTTTATTCTAAATTGCAGACAGCAAAGTTTCCAAACATAAAGATAGATTAAGTTAAGAATACTTCCTATAAACTCAACATTGCGGCAAAGAAACAACAAAAAAACAAGTTAAAAGAAGACTCAGGAGACTCCAGTTGTCAGCAGCTAGACCTGCACACAGAGCGGAAAACAAACTTACAGAAAGATGCAAACATACAGCTGGGGCTGCAACTAACTCATTGTCATTGTTAATTATTCTGCCAGCTGCTTTCTCCATTAATTCATGAATGGTTTGGTGTATAAAATGTCAGGAAACATTTTAAAAGGGTTGGGTTTTTTGTTTGATGTAAGCTGAGGAAAAGAAGCGAGTGACGATTGATTTATTATCGAAACCATTTCCAATTAATTTCCTGTCCATTGACTAAGCAATTAATTGACTACATACAGGTAACCAAAGACAAAAAGCTAAACGAGATAAGGAACCATAACCATAGAACTGGAAGCATTAAAGCATTGTCATAAAGAGTAAAAACATGTTATGTTTCAACTTGTAAAATATTGAGAAACAGTGGAGGGACTCGTCTACATTCTAAGTGTTTCAATTGGCTGTTTCCTCTTGTTCTCATCTCAGCCGGATAGAAAAAACAAAATTCTTCAGCGGATACACGTTTTATTTTATTGCACACATTGTCCCACGGCTCTTTAACACCCAGAGCAGGCACTAATGTGCTGTGAAGGCCTCGCATTTAGCAACTAGTGCGAGCAGTGGGCCCATGTGTGAGCAAAACCAACACTCTGAGGTGTTAACCAATTGTTTCCTTGTAGAAGTGTTTTTTGGAAAAGACACTGTGCATGTGTGCATCTCACACAGGCGGGTGCGTTTATGTTACATTAGCAGGCCGGCCCTTGCATTCAGCCTCGGGGGTAATTGAAATGGTTGTTGAAGGAGAAAAATAATGAGAGTGCTAAGTGTCAAAGCAATGGAGTAGAAAGGGGTTGTCAGATCTGAGCTGGAGGGGCCACAGGGCAGCGGGGGTGAAAGCGAGGGTCCCTGGGATGTCAACTCAATTTTCCAAAAATAGCTTCATGCCATGGTTTCATTGAAAGCAATATGCGAGGGCAATAACTTCTGTCCTTTTAGATCAAGACATATTAATCACATTTATGGGTGTGTAATGACACAGGATGTGTGAGTTTTTTGGAGAGCAGAGTGTGTGTGTGTGTGTGTGTGTGTGTGTGTGTGTGTGTGTGTGTGTGTGTCTTTGTGCTACATGGCACAGAATAGGCATCACTTCTTCCAATTAGGGAGAATAACAGGATGCCTTGTTTTGTTAAGATGTTCCTGTGTTTCATAGTGAGATGTGCTCGTATGTGTACGTGCCTGTTCTCAGGAAGGAGGTGCAAACATGTCTCTTAACAGAAGGGCCAAGACCACCATTAAAAAACATCCCACAGTTATCTCCATACCATTGTCTCGCATCCTCTGCTGTATTTACACTACAGCCTTTCAACATAAACACCTTCAAGCAACTAAAATGGACTACCTTCACACAAAACTTAAACATGCAAACATGTACAGCGTCTGGCAACAGGAAGGTCTGTTGTAAACCAGATTTATTTCAGTGTGTCCTACTTCATTCTGCCCTTTTGTAGAGAGGAAGCACAGCGTATGTACCACCTTTTGGTCTCTGTTGTGGCCTCTAGATGTTTAGAGGACCCTTCCTGAGAGGCAGAGCCACACAGCTGTGTTTGCCTGTGCATATGACACTGTTGTAGCACATATGAGAGGCTTATAAATGAAATGCAGTCATTTTTTTCTGAACTATTGACTAAACCAAATCAGTCTGTAAAAAGGAAAGAAGGAAATAGAAAGAGATAACCTAAGGTTTTGTCATGGTATGGAATAAAGCTGAAAACATATTCAATTGATCAATTCAACAGAAAATGAATAAACTATTCTTATAACTGATTACAAAACATCGTGTGGTGACTTCTGGCTCACCCAGTGGAGCGTGAGCCCCATGTAGACTGAGGCCCTTTGCAGCACATCATCCCTCTCTCCTCCCTTTCTTGTCATTCTCCAGCTGTACTAATAAACGCAATAAACGGCCATAAAAAAAAATCTCCAAAGAAAGAATGTCTCTGGTACCGGCCTCTCCAGTGTGAGGACTTGCTGCTTTTCTGTGTTGTAGATCATTGTGAATTTAATATATTTGGGGGGGGGGGGGGGGGGGGGGG